AAGGCTCTACAGACTTTCCCAACAAATTATTCATTGAACACATCGACTACAGTAAAAACACTGGACATTATAATTTTATTAAAGACATCAATGCATACACACAGATATCTGATTTGTGTAAATATTGTTTAACAAAACATCAAAAAATTAATCACACATGTAAATATGTGTGTAACTACTGCTCTACTTATCCCAAATGTGACAACGGAGGTGATAAAGTAGATTGCGATTTATGCAATCGCAGTTATGCAAATGATATATGTTATCAAAATCATAAAAATAACAATATCTGCAAAGTTAAGTCTAAAACATGCGCTAATTGTAATGTTGAATACTCAACAGATAGAAGAGCAAAACATGTTTGCTATCACCTCAAATGTAATAAATGTAAAGTTTATTACACTGAAACACCTCATTTATGTTATATAAAACCTTTGAATGTAGAAAAGTTGGAAAAAGAGGACAAAGAAAATAAAATAATAGTTTGTTTTGATATTGAAAGTGAGCAAATAGCCCAAAATAACGGATTTTATGATCACAAGCCGAATTTACTTATTTCACGTAAGTTAATATTAAATTTTTATAAGTATTTTAATTTAATAATATGTACTAATTATAAATATTTTATACAGTATGTGTTTGCGACAAATGTTGGGATTACCAACAAATGGCAAAAAGATGCGATGTCTCCATTGATGAGGCAAATGATGGATGTAAAATGTGCGGATATGGTCTCCGCACATTTTATAAAGACAATGTAGTTGAACAGTTTTCAGACTACTTATTCAAAGATGTCGCTGTAAGGGCTTCAAAAATTAAGGCACAACTATACGTCATAGCACACAATTTCCGAGGATATGATGGTCACTTCATATTCCAAGAAATGTTTGAAAGACAGTTTGGTGATCCGAGTGATATCATTATGAATGGTATGAAAATTCTCAAAATCACAAACAACAACACATCGTTCATAGATTCGTTGAGTTATTTCCAACAACCATTGGCTTCACTTCCTAAATCGTTTGGGTTTCAACACATTGTCAGCAAAGGATTTTTTCCCCATCACTTTAACAGAAAAGAAAACTACAACTACTCGGGTCAGATACCAGATATCAAACACTTTGGTATTGATGAAATGAGATCATCAAAAGAGTGTGTGGAGTGGTACAATGACTTCAAAGCAAACAATTACTTATGGGATTTTGAACAACAAATCAAAAAGTATTGTCTAAATGATGTAATTGTACTCACAATTGCTGTAATGGAGTTCCGCAAACTTTTCAAAGGATTTACCGGATTGGATCCAATCACACGTAGATTTACACTAGCAGGTGTTGGACTTGAGTATTTTAGAGCTAAAATACTAAAAGATGACATGATTGGTGTCACACCCATCAATGGTTATATTGATGGACGCCACAAGTCAAACAAAGGCAATGTTTGGCTTGATTGGATGGAAGAGAAAAGAGGTGTGAAGATCTGCAGAGAGATGAGAATTGGTCAAAACTATGCTGACGGTTGTATTCGAGATGGCATACTCGGAGAGGTATTTGAGTTCAATGGATGTTATTGGCATGGATGTCAAAAATGTACTCATCTGTTCAGACATAGAGATAATTATGATGGCAATGAACAAATAGACCCAATCAAAGATTATCAAAGGACAATAGAAAAGGTATTTAAATAAATTATTGTTTATATACAAATTTACTTACAATTATACATACTTTAGGAAACATATTATAAATCTAGAGGTTTCAAAGTGACATCTATTTGGGAACACGAGTTCGATAAACTGTTGACTACAGATGCAGAATTCAAAGCATATCATACAAAACGTATGTCATATTATAAAACTATTGACAAAATAGGCCACGCAAACATTCGGGAGTCGTTTTATGGTGGCCGTACTAACAATTTGTACTTCAACGCTGATTGCACTGGTAATGAGGTGATAAAATATAAAGATGTGTGCAGTCTGTATCCAACTGTACTATCTAAATGTGAATACCCTATTGGTCACCCCTCAATTATAAGTAAATTCAACGATACGTCAATTGTTAATTACTTTGGATTTATAAAATGTAAAATATTACCACCAAAAGATTTATACATACCTGTATTACCTCTAAAATCAGAGTCTAAAAAGCTAGTGTTTGCATTATGTAATCAATGCGCAAAGGATATGAACCCTAACAAATGTAGTCATAGCGACAAAGAGAGAGCTCTCAGCAGTACTTGGTACTCAGAAGAGCTTAAATTAGCAATTGAAATGGGATACAAAATTATCAAAATATATGAGGTTTTGCATTACGATCGCAAAACAAATGAAATATTTAAGCCATACATACAACAATGGCTTAAACTCAAGACAGAGGCAAGTGGATGGCCTGATAATTGTACTACTGATGAGTTGAAACAAAACTACATCAGTGAGTATCAAAGACGAGAAGGTGTGGATTTGGAGTTCGATAAGATGTCACCAAATCCGGGTCTTCGCTTTATTGCAAAGTTAATGCTTAATAGTTTGTGGGGAAAACTGGCTCAAAGACCCAATCAAAAACAAACTAAACTTTGTAAAACATATGACGCATACCGTAGTATTATATCGGATGCTAAAATTCAAATAAAAGGTAAAAATACATTTTAAAAAAAATAATAATATAAATTATTTATTATACTATACTTTAGGAGAAATTATGCCCAATGATGAGACTATTTTAGTCAACTATCAATATATTGACGACAACTACTCATCTGCTGGTAATACAAACATTGCATTGGCATCTATGGTTACCGGTAATGCACGTATACATCTGTATCGTGAATTACACGGAATTGAAAATTCAGCAAAGGGACGAGTACTGTATTTTGATACAGACTCTGTAATCTACCGTCACGACCCTACCAAAGGTTGGTACGACCCTCCGATCGGTGATTTCCTCGGAGATATGACCGATGAGATTGAAAAGGATTACAGAGAAGGGTCGTATATCAACTCATTTACTTCATGTGGACCCAAAAACTATGGATATCAAGTCGTTACTGGTGATGGCCGTGTGATTCAAAAAGTTAAAGTAAAAGGCATCTCAATCACTGAGGAAGTGAAACATAAAATAAACTTTGAAAGAGTTAAAGAGACTGCTCAGCACTACTTTAACAATACACCAATCACAACACTGGCTCCACAATTATGCTTCAGGGCCGATCAACTGCACAATGTGACGACATCAAAAGTAAATAAGATATATCAAGCAGTGTCTGAAAAACGTAGGATTGTTAGGGGACACCCTATTTATCAAACAGTTCCCTATGGATTTTATGAATAAATGTTAAAAATATATTAACTTTATTATACTATTGTTTAGAGATTTGCAATTATTTGAATAAATTGTTTATTTTAACTATTTAATACTATTTCTATTTATAATATTGTACTAATTATTTGAAATTATTTAAAATAAAATGTGATTAAAAACTATTTTATGATTAATTTATTTACATTTACTATTAATTAGCATCTAAAAATAAAACTAAGTATACATATTCAGGTCATTATTGACTATATAAAGTAATGTTTTCAATAAAATTATTTTATATTCACTAACAACTATGGCTAAACGACACTTCAAAGACAGTTATTTAAGAAAACTATTGGAAGGTATTGTATTTTAAATTAATATATTTTATTAATTATATATTGAAATTTTTATATTATTTCAGAGCCACCGATAAAAAGACCAAAACAAGACCAGTGCATTCAAACTGAATTGATTCGTTTGAAAAACATGAAATTTTATATGTTGTCAGAGCCGGGATTGAAAATCATCGTCGATAGACTGACTGCAATTGGACATAAAAATGGTATAACAGAAGATACTAACAAATTAGTAAAATACTTGTCTGAATTGGCTACCTGTGAATGGAAATTTGATACAAAATCAAATGTATAAAATTTTATAAAAGATGAATAAATTTTTTTATTATTAAACCTATGTTTTATTTATTTAAAATGAATTGCATTAAAGTGGATCGAAAACACATTTCATTTAAACACCCATTCACTTGTATGGTCGCTGGACCTACAAGTAGTGGTAAAACTGTACTACTTAGAAATATATTGGAGAATTATAAACAAACTTTATATTTTACTGATATACCAAATAAGTTAAAAATTGTGTGGGCATACGGACAATGGCAAGAATTGTACACTAAATCTATTGCTGACTGTGATATACAATATATTGAAGGCCTACCCAATGAAGAAGAAGTAAAAGAGATTAAACCTCATCTCATAGTTATTGATGATTTGATGACTGAGTTGGGAAATAATGTTAAATTAGCAAATTTATTTACTAAAGGTAGTCATCATATGAATATAAGTGTGATATTTATATCACAAAATATATTTCATCAAGGGTCCCAAATGAGGACAATTAGTTTAAATTGTCACTATTTGATATTGCTTAAAAACCCAAGAGATAAAAGACAGATAATTAGCTTAGCCTCACAGATATATCCGGAAAACTCAAAATACTTTATAGAAGTGTATACTGACGCCACATCTGTTCAATATGGTTATATTAAAGTAGACCTAAAACAGGATACACCTGAAAAATATAGAGTACAAACAAATATTATACCAATTAATAATAAATTGAAAATTATTTGCTATATACCTAAGTAATGTCTGATAATTTGAAAAAATATTTTAGAGACTTGCAGTTTGTTTCTAAAATAAAATGTAAGAAAACACAAAAAACATTATTGAATTATTTAGCTAAAGACCCAAAAGTATATTTAGCTATAAAAGAAATTGGATTAAATGTTATAAAAGGAAATATAAAAACTAAAAAATTGAATAAAAGTAAAAAACTTTTACTTAAAAAGTTTGAAAGGAAACAAAGTTTAAAAACTTGTAAAAGTGTTGTACAAAAAGGAAACGCTTGGATGTGGTTAATACCGTTACTAACAACTGTATACGAATTAATAACAAAATAATGTCATTCAGAAAAGTTGAATTGGTTACTAATGATAGTGATGATGACATCGATATGGATATATCAACAATGAGTGTGGATAGTAAACCGTTTGATAAAATTAAACCAAATACATTAGTAACTAAAAACATTGTTGACAATGTTACAAATGATAACAATATTAAAAATAATTTGCCGAATATTAATAATTCATTTCTAAGTATAATAGAAGATATGGTTTTTAAAGTATTAATTAAAAATAATTTAATCAGTACAACTAAAAAACAAAGCAAAGTTACTACAAAAGTTCATAAACCTAACAAAAAAGTTGTTAAAAAAGTAGTAAATAAAAAGACTGTTAAAAAATCTAAATCTAAAAAATCTATACAATGGATCAAAATATAAATGAGTTGTTGAATATAATATATTATGATCCACAAAATAGTGGATCATTTAGTGGTGTAAATAATTTGTATAAAACTGCTAAACAATTAAATCCAAATATAACATTAAAATTAGTAAAAGATTGGTTAAAAGGAGAGTTAACTTATACTCTACATAAACAAGTACACAGAAAATTTATACGAAATCCTATTGTTGTGACATATATTGATGAGCAATGGGAAGCAGATTTAGCTGATATGAGAGAATTTGCTAATAAAAATGATAAATATAATTATATTTTAACAGTAATTGACTGCTTTTCTAAATTTGCATTTACTGTTCCATTGAAAGTTAAAACAGGAAAAAGCATTACAAATGCTTTTAAAACACTATTTAAAAACAGAAAACCATTATCTTTACGTACAGATAAAGGAAAAGAGTTTTTAAATGAAATATTTCAAAAATATCTGAAATTAAATAGAGTTAACTACTTTCACTCAAATGATTATAAAATAAAATGTGCTATAGTTGAACGCTTTAATCGTACATTAAAGTCACGTATGTTTAAATACTTTACTGCTAATGGTACGCGAAGATATGTAGATGTACTACAAAAACTTGTTAATGCATACAATACATCATATCACAGATCTATAGGTATGTCACCTATTGAAGTGACTACAGAAAATACAAAACAAGTATACAATAACTTATATGTTAAATCTAAAAAGTTTAAAACACCAGATGTCGCTACAGGAGATTTAGTACGTAAAGTGTACGAAATGTCTAAATTTGATAAAGGTTATTACCCTAACTGGACTGATCAAGTCTTTACTGTAGTAAAGACTATAAAAGGTGATAATCAATATGTGTTTAGACTAAGTGATGGACAAGGAAATATTATTGAACAGCGATTTTATCCACAAGAGATCCAAAAGATCAAAGAAAATCTATACCGTATTGAAAGAGTTATTAGAAGTCGTGTTAGACGTGGTCGTAGACAGTATTTTGTTAAGTGGTTAAACTATCCGGAAGAATACAACAGTTGGATTGATAGCATTCAAGATGTCTATACTAAATAAATTGTGTAAAACTGAATTAATTTTGTTTACTATTCAAATGTCATTAATGACAATTGTAATATTTGTAAGCTTAATTAACTTAACTTTTGAAATTGGCAACAAAAATTTATGGGCAATTATTTTAACTAGTTGTATTGGATATATAATGCCTAACCCTAAACTTAAACTATGTAAAAATGTTATAAAAGGCTCTGATACTGTATTTTAAAAATAAAAATGAATTGTTTACTAATTAACATATTGTGTTTTATTTTATTTATTATATTTGTTGTTGTATTATTATTTTTAAGAGATAAAGAAAAAATTATTTGGAATTGTTATTTTGATAACAATACACAAATAAAACTTTGTGAATAATGAGTAAATATATTACTTTAGTTAATAATGTCAAAACATTTGACAATACAATGTCTGATTTTAGAACAAAATTAGGCAAAACAGTTAAACTTGATGATAGTTGGTGTGTTGGTATATCTGAAATAACTTATACCAAATCATGGTATAATATATTAAATGATCATAAAATTACATTATTTGATGAAATGGGCCGTATATATGGTGATAAGTCTAATCAATATGATGATAAGTTTACACTTAAAGCTGGTTATTATGAAACACCACAGAAATTAGTTAATGAAATTAACAATATTTTGACTTTATTTACTGATATTAAACCACCAAAATTAGTTTATAATGAGATTAATAATTTTATTACAATTAATGTTGGTATAGTTGAAAGTGTAGTTAAAATATTTCCTGACTTGGGTGAAGAAATTGAAAACATTTTAGGWTTAAAAGATAGAAAAGCTACACATAATTATTATTATGGTAGCAATAGCTTAGTTAATATAGTATTCAATGGAATTGAAAATAAAAATATTATTAAAGGCTTTCATCCTGTAGAGATTAGTGGTGGTTTTCATTCACTATATTTATATAGTGATATTGTATACCCATCACTAGTTGGTGATACATTTGCACCTCTACTGAGAGTAGTTGAAATACCTAGAAAATATAAATTTGGAGATACAGTACATTTAAATTATGAAAGACCTCAATATAGACCTGTAAGACTCAATGAATTTGAAACACTTGAAATATCTATAAAAGATGATAGTGGTTTATCTATACCATTTAAATTTGGTAGAGTAACTATAACATTGCATTTTATTAAAGTATGAATAATCCATATATTGATTACTATAAAATCCAAGCCGGTAACGGTATTGTATCTTATGCTGGGCATAGATACCAGTCCGGTAATGGTATATTTGGTAAAATATTTAAACACATTAAACCTGCATTAAAATATGTAGCAAATAAAGGATGGGATGCATTTAACGGTATTGGTAATGATATACTATCTGGTAAATCATTCAAAGAAGCCGGCACAAATCAGTTGATAAGATCAGCTGATACTATTTTAACAGATGTTAAAAATAAAGTTTCTAATGTTAGACAACAAAAAGGTTTAGGACGTAAACGTAAAGTTAAAACTAAACTAAAATCTTATAAAAGACGTAAAACAGTTAAGAAAAAACAAAGAAAATACTAAAAATGTCTACAATACACGAATTATCATCTCTAATGACACTTCCAGAAATGGATGTGTTTGGAGTACCACCAACACAACTAATGATTGAACGTGATGTTCAAACTGAACACCGTCCAATAAGTACATTATCTAATTCAACAAATACTATTGAATTTGAAATACATACAGGTTTAAATGAATATATTAACTTAAGCAAAAGTGAACTTTATTTATGTTTAAAATTTAAATTACAAAAGTCTACTGTATCAACAACACCTGAAGTTAAACAGAAGACTGGAAACTAATATCTCCAATCAATTATTTAATGCATTCATTTATTAAACAAATTGATGTAAATATTGGTCAAACAACTGTTACAACATCATCAGTGAATTATTCATATGTGTCATATATTGACACTCTTCTTAACAGTAATAGTGATGCTAGAAATACACATTTAGAGACTGCATTTTGGCATAAAGATGAGACACCTATGGATTCGGTAAATGAGATAAGAAGTAGTCGTATACGACCGTCAGGTAACTCATTATCTGACGGGTGTGAAGTCGAAATGTATGGCAATTTGCACATTGATTTAGCATCGCAAGTAAAGTCTTTACTTGGAGGGGTCACACTGAATATTAAAATTTACCCACAAGATCCCAAGTTTTATTTAATTTATGATAAAACATTGATACCAACAGTTGAAATAATGGACGTAAGATTGTTTATGCATAAATCTATTGTTAACCCACAAGTAGTTGTGGCACACAATAGAGCACTTGAAAGTGCTAATGCCCGCTATTTTATTACACGAAAGGAAGTAAAGACATCAATTATAGCTAAAGACACATTAGATTGTTATTTAAATAATGTCATCAATGGAGTGATTCCTAGAAAAATATATATTGGTTTTGTTAGTAACGAAGCATATAATGGTTCATATAATATGAACCCATTTTATTTTAAAAATTACAATATCCGACACATTGCATGCTATGTTGATGGGACTCAATATCCACACAGACCATACACACCAGACTTTGCAAATAAAAAATATATGCGTGAATATTTTGGATTATTTGAAACAGCAAATCAAATCAAACACTCAACAGATATTGACATAACACGGGAAGAGTATGCTGAAGGTTATACACTATTTGGATTCAATTTTACACCGGATTTATCTGATGGAGTAGCAAAAAGTGGTTATGTATCAACTGTGGTTAGAGGTAACTTACGAGTTGAACTAAAGTTTGCCTACCCTATACAAGAGACTGTAACTGCAATCATATTCTGCGAATATGATAGTTGTGTAGAAATAGAGAGCTCAAGATTTGCTATTAAAAATTTTCAATAAATATGAATACATTACAAATAAATAACTATTTTAAAAATTGTAATAAATATTATGGTACATATCCGAGAGATATGTTACCAAATATTATACCAAAAGATAGTGGTGTTATTATTAATACAGATAAAGCTAGTGCTCCTGGGGAACACTGGGTTAGTGTATACAAAACAAATAATGATAGCATTATATATTTTGATTCATTTGGATTACAACCACTACATAATGATATCTTAAATTTTATAAAAGACAATACTGTAAACGGTTGGTATTACAACTGTATTAATTTTCAAAGTGTATACTCTAATACTTGTGGATTATATTGTATTTATTTTTTAACTAATTATTTTAATGGCGGATCATTTGAACAAATCCAAACTGTGTTTGGTTTTAATCCTCACATTAATGATTGTGTTGCCAAATTATTATGTAACTGGTAAATGTCATTTATCAGATGTGTATAAAAATTTTAGTGATTATTATAGAATATACATTAAAATAAAAGATATTTATAATGAAAAGTTTCTTATTGTTATGACTAATGTAAACGTAATTAATGGTACGTTAGCAAATATTGCGTCAACATATAGACATCGCATTGAGCGCTATTTTATAGAAGAAGGGTTTCCCCTCAACAACGAACACGATTTACTTTTTATAGTAAACAAACTTAATCTCTAAAATGAGTAAAATTAATCAAATCTGTGGTGTAATGGACGCACAAGGTTTTGTTTATAACAATATCTTTGTCCCGCGTGAGATTGCAATAATATCTCACACTTGTAAAATGTCTGAGTTGTGTGAGACAAACCTAACTTATAGAGATATGGAATTGAAAGATCGGATTACTAACCTTTATTTGGCCAACAACTTATTGGGACTATCGTTACGTACAGTAAACACTGAGATAACACAAAACTCAACAATGGATGCCAAACAGATTATTATTGAGATGTATGAGAAAATCAAAAGCAAAGAAAAGCCATACATTGGAATTAAGTGCTCTCAATTGGCGGATATATTGGACATGTGCGCTATACCTTACGTTGAATTGGATCAGTATAGATGTCCTAGTCTTAAGACATTAAAGAGAATGTATGGAGGCCGTTCATGTCATTTTCATGAACGTATCATACCCGATAAATCAGATATGAGATGCGCTCAACACAAATGTGAGCTATTGTGGAAATGGATTAAAAATTACTATTTGTTTTCATATTAAAATGTAAATAATTATACATTTTTTATTTATTAATAAAATTTATTTTATTCAATTAATTTGTTTTGTTTATTTATTACAATATTTGTTTTATAATATACAATAATTACTTTAATTAAGATATTTAATGATTTCATCTTTCAATGACAATATAATGTCAATTTCAGGGAATATGACATTTAATTTTTTAATGTTACCATTACTAATGATACTAAAACAATACAATTGTTTTTTCAAATGCATGAATGAGATAACTCGAAGATCTCCAAAAGAACCAAAGTCTTGGGTTTCCATCTTTTTCAACAATTCTTTGAATTCATTACCATATAAATAAACGCCATGTTTGGTGTAGAAGACATCTTCTCCATCATTGCAAACAGTCAGTCGGATGTCCACAAATTTTTCACCGTTTTCGTGTTCCAATACACGAACAAATTTGTCAAATTTGTTTTCACCATCAGATTTGGTGAAAATGGATTTTTGAAACAATGTTTTGCCAACCATTTTGATGATGAAAAATTTAATTTACAATAATAATCAGTTATAACAAAACTAATAAACACTAATACAATAATAGTGTATACACTTTGCTTTTATAAGTTAATATTTTATAGAGTAAACAGGATTTACGATAGTGTAATACACTATTTGTTGTTGCAATAGTAGTTAAACTACTTATTGCAACAGATGTTGCAATAATTGAAGCAATAGTTGTTAAACAACTTGTTTCAACTGTTTTTGTAATAGTTGATGCAATAGTTTATGAGTTTATAACTACATCAACATTTATTATAGTAATACAATTTGCATTATCAATATGCCTGTGATAACTAATGTTTCGATGACTGCTGATCTCTTTGATATGATTGGTTTTATTGATTTAAGAAAATTGTGTAACAACTGTTGTAATTGTGTATATCACAATTACCCATTTGTGAGAGTAATTAAACGGTATCGTAACCCTAATGCCACGGTTATGATATACGACTCTGGTAAACTAGTATGTGTGGGTGCAAAATCAAAAAATGATGGTCGAATAGCATTACGAAAGACTGCTCGCATAATACAAAAACTCGGATATGATATCAAATTACATAACTTACGTGTGACTAACATTGCTGCGTCACATAACCTGAAAAACGACTTGAATGTAGAGAAACTGATGAATCAATTTAATTGGAGCAGTAATTATGAGTTGGAAATATTTCCACATTTGAGGATCAATTGTGGTAATAAAAGACATATAACTCTCACTAGAAAAGGGAAAATGATATTGACTGGTGTTTATACTAGAAAAGCATTGAATGAATTATATGAAGAGTTTATGTTTAAATACTTTGATTACTTAATAAACAAATAAATATGAAGAAAGTTAGATTTGATGACAAAATACAGATAAAGACTATGTATGTTTGGTCATATGCTTCAAGACAGGCTCGTATATCTAACTGGCATTGGATAGTTTTTAACAGACGTATTCATGAATATAAGTGTAAACTAATTGAAGAAAATATATCATATGTATTAGATAAAAATTTTAGAGAGAAAATATTTAATGAACGCTTTTGTAAATAAATAAAATGTAAATAAATTATAAATATTATTTTAAAAATAAATGTATTTATATTTATTTTGTTTACATCTACACTCATGTTAGGTCACATGATTTCCGCTATCCCCTCTCCGCTAATACATCGGAAGGTTGACCAGTTCGGTAAGTTGGTCAGTTTAGGTAGGTGGTCTGTTAGGTTAGGTTGGGTTAGGTTCGGGTAGTTGGTCAGTTCGGTTAGTTGGTCAGTTCGGGTAGTTGGTCAGTTCGGGTAGTTGGTCAGTTCGGGTAGTTGGTCAGTTCGATAGTTGGTCAGTTCGGGTAGTTGTTGGGTAGTTGCTCAGTTCGCGTATGTGGTCAGTTTGGGTATGTGGTCAGTTCGGGTAGGTGGTCAGTTCGGGTAGGTGGTTACTATGGGTAGTTGGTCAGTTCGGGTAAGATGGTCAGTTCGGGTAAGATGGTCAGTTCGGGTAGGTTGTCGGTTCGGGTAGGTGGTCAGATCGGGTAGGTGGTCAGTTCGGGTAGGTGGTCAGATTGGGTAGAGGTAGTAGTGACGTCATTGGTGTAGTACACTTAGGTTAGGTTAGGTGGAGTCACGTGATCTCCGTCACCTATTCTCCGTCATACTGTTATATGGGGGAAAGCACTGTGCTTTCCCCTTCCGTCACCCTTATGTCGTAACTACTATATACATTTAAATCTATTTATATCAAATAACTATAAATTACAAATTTAACGTTAAATATTACAATATATAGTGTGTTACTATAAAAAAACACTGTCTTATATAAACTGTATATAAATTATATATATATATATATATATATATATATATATATATTTTAGACGACAATTTGAATTATTTACAACCAACAAAAAAATTAACATTTATATTACTTAGTAAGCAATTAATATGATATCGCAAGTGTTTAGTTATTTTTAAGTTATAATATATAAAGAAATTATATAACACATTAAATGTTTAGTAATTATCATAATAACTAGATTTGGTATTTTTCTCTATATTATTGTTGATAACAACCCTATAACAAATAGTATTTAATATACAGTAATATAATTATTATAATAATAAAACAAAATAAATATATGGGTATTATAGTACTACTACTTCTACTACTAGTATTACTATTAAGATAAAAACTAGCAATTTATATACAATTTTGTGTGTAAAAGTGAAAATTGGTTTTTATATATTATTGTGTATTTATTTTTCATGTTTATTAGCAATAAATATACAACATTTTTCATTCATTATAAACATACACTCATTTAGTTTATATACTGTATATATAAATAATATATATATATATTACTGTATTATAATAAACATTTTAAATATTCACATACTCACCCACTTACACCCACCCACACCCACACATACACACACATAAACAGATTTATTGTTATATAAATCTAAGCTATAATATCTTATAACTAATATATATATATACAATACTATATATTAATATATAATTTTTGAAAAAAATTGTTTTCTGTATATTAATTAAATTTTTTTTGTTTGTTTGAAAATTATTACTAAAAATTTTCCATAGTCTCAGTTTTAATGAATTGATAACTGATGGACAGGTAGATAAATAGGATAGGATAGTGTGCTAATAATATAGACTTATATATTTTTGTTATACGAGTGCCTACTATTGATTACACACAAATTGTTAGTGAAAACTAACTGTATATTTATAAATACTGTATAAATAATAAGAGTAATTATTATAATAGTCATTATATTATGTTTGTGTTGTTGTTGTTGTCGTCTAATTGATTGCCACTCAAATTACAGAATATTCTGGGAAATATATTATATATTTATAATATATACAGTATATTATATATAATTATGTATAATTTAAATATATCATTTATAATTAAAATAAAAGTTTATTTTTTCACAAAATACTTAAAAAAATAGTTTATTAATTAATTAAATTTTTTTCAGTTTTGTTTTAATTGTAATTAATTATTATTTAATTTAATTCATAATCAATCATTTTATTGTGTTTTTTTTATTATAACAAATGATAAAAATATCAGTTACATTATTATTATTATTTATTTTAATAACCTTTTTATTTATTATATGTAATTCATATAAATAATATTTTTTTTAACAAAAAAAAATACATTTTCATAAATATTGTCTTAATAGAGATTTTTTTATTAGTGAAACTTTTATTAGTAACTTTACATTAGGGATTA